TAGGAAGCTTTATAAATTGATATTTACATTGAGACTATAAAAGAGTGAAGAAAAGTTTGATATGTTTAAATTTCGACAATTTAAATGTGGCAAGAAACATGTTGCTTTTAGACGACGCTTTTATTACTCTAAATTTTTTTTTAGCATAAACGAAGCCGTTAGTTTTTGGTGTAACGGAGATAGCTGTTTCCACGGAAGTGTTCAATTTGTCCGTCAAACTACAACAACCAATTCACTGAACTGTTTTGACTTATCGGTCTTCACACTGAAACCAATTGATCGTTTGAACAACAGTTCTGATTTTAGACCAAATAATACAGGCAAAAAAAAAAAAAACCACATAGTTAAGATTGAATAAACAAAGCTGAAGCGGAATTGAATTGTTGTATTTAAGTGGATAGAACTATCTGTCCAAAAAAAAAAAACAGTGTTTTTCTTTTTTTTTTACAAGGACTAATTGTAATTTGAATGTATCCAACCATTATTCATCTGTTATAAAAACGATTAAAGTATATTTTATAACAACAGTTTTTTGATAATACAATCAAAAAAACAAATATCTGTGTACAATTTGCTTATAAAATCAAATTGAATAAGTGTCATTATGATGACTTTTAAATTTTTTTTTTTCTTTTTTTTATCTTCTGCAAGGATTCTGTTTTTCATACTTTATCTTTTACAATGACCTTGTTTTTCTTTCTTTTTTTTTTTTTCTTTTTTTGCTGATTTTAATTACATCTGTTTTTTTTTTTCGTACGTTTGTTTCTTTTCAAATTTTCGATTAACAACAAATTGAAACGGGCAAACAACAGTGTTGGCAGCAGTAATAGCAGTAAGATGAACAACAGTGAACTAAGTAAGTAAATAAAAAAGTATGGTTTATTTTGAATTTTAGGATTATTCAAATTGTTCATCTGTTGCCGTACAAATATATCAAAGAAAAAAAAAAAACATACGAGAAGAACATTGTAAAGCACTGAATACATTGAAAAACTACAACTATTATTATTATTTCTATTATTATTATTATTATTATTATTATTATTATTATTATATATTATTATTATTATTATTATTATTATTATTATTATTTTTCATTATTATTATTATTATTATTATTATTATTATTATTATATCAATGATATTATAATAACAGTAATACCAATAACTAATACCCATTGTTATTATTATACAATTCTTTTCTTCCGTCCACTTTTCTATGCCAACTTTTTTCCTGCACTTAACATCTTCTTCTTTATATCTGTCCCCCCCCCCCTTCTTGTTGATGCAACTGCTGCTGCTGCTGCTA